TATCTATCTATCTATCTATCTATCTATCTATCTATCTATCTATCTATCTATCTATCTATCTATCTATCTATCTATCTATCTATCTATCTATCTAGAAATGAAAGAAATGGAACTGTCATGAGAGCTGTACAAAATTAAATTTCTTTCTGTATACACTCTGTGTATACAATATGACAATAAAGTTTGTCTAAGTAAGTCTAAAGTCTCAGTCCGTCCGTCCATCCGCCTGCCCGCAGGCATATATATGTATGTATGTATGGACAGAGACAGATATTTCTGAAAGTGAATACAGCACGTTGAATAAAATCGTATTTAAACACCTATTCAAAAGAACTGTCCACGCCCAAGACTAAAGGAAAAGATATGTCAACTGACCAGATGAGAAACACCTGCAGCCAATGTCAAGCAACTTGAAACAGGGAAAATAGAATTAATATTTGTTTAATGATTTTTTTTTCTCCTTAGAGCGAAAAAGCTTAAAAAGTATATTATAAAAGCCAAAAGTTGTGATTTCCATAAACGTATGTTATTTTTGTTCCTATTCCTAAGAAAAAGGAAACTAAAAGCAGAACCATGATTTGCATATTACAGTTTACCACAGTTAAAGTGGTGTTTAACACACATCAGGTATATGAGGAAAAAGATACTCCCACAGTTTTGCAATTAAAATGCTCAGTCTTTAGAACGGGTAAACTGCATAAACCTGAAAGATGAGATTTTATTGTAATCTCTGCAGTCACGGGGGAAGAGGTGGAATGCCTGATGATCACTGACACTTGGGAAAATGTTTAAAGCCAACAGTGGCTTACCTGCACTTGTTAAATTCTTAATTTCCACGAATTAGCAGTGCACAATGCTTTGCCCATTTACACTGTGTGATCTAAATATCTGTAGGAAGTCATGTGACATCAGTTTTTGTGTTCATATTTATATTAAAAACACTGACAGTCAGTTTAAGAAGTAAGATTGCTTTTCCCCCCAGTACTTGAAGAACTGGATCTTTCTTTTAAACCTTTACCACTTATAAGGAAGTGATCATGATTACCTACTCCCTTATAGTCTTACGTGTTAAATCGCTCTCCAGTTGCAGAGGGAACCAGAAGACGTAGAGTTTTAAATATGTGAGAATTTGTTATGTTTTATGATTTGTGCTTGATTTTTTTTTTTTTAGTTTTATGTCTTACACAGTCCCAAAATCTAAGAGAACATTTCTATCTTTCACAGAAAGGTATCATTAAATTGAAATGCGTCAAGGTGTGCACAAACCCATCTTTGAACCCACAGCCATTCAAATATACAAGTAGATGGGCTGTAAAGCAGGTAAGGCAAGGAAGAGGGTAATTAAGAGTGTTTTACTGGAATGAAAGTAACACAATGTATTTCCTGCTAGAACCTGCCAGCTAGTGCCAACATGCCCCTACTCTCGACCCTTATCCTTATCTCAATGTCTAAGCATCTAAACATTTGGAGTTAAGTAAAGGTACTTTATGCAAACATAATAAAATAAATCCAACTTTGGCTGTCAAAATATGAACATACCACCAAACTCCTGCATCTACATGTAAAGAAAATGTTGTAAGTTATAGTGTCTATAGTGTCTAAATTGTACAATCAAGAACGAAGAAATGGAAAACTGTCCCTACACCCCAGTGACCACCTGCACTCCACAGCCCTACTTGAGTGGTTGTATGATGAAGAGACAGAGGGAGGTGTCCTGGGATGTAAAGGAAAGGACAGAGGGCAGTCATCTACCAAGGAGCCAGCTTCCCATCTGAAACCTATTGGCCTTCCTGTTCACTTAGCGCTACCATGGGAGGGTGACACCTGCACATCCAATCACAGGTGAATGGCAGCAGCATAATGTGGCCCTAAAACCAAACTGGGAACTATCCAAATTCCACCAAGACTGCCCAAACTCTCAAACCCCAATCCCTGATATTCAATTTGCTGACCAAAGAAGGTTCTGAAGCCTAACTTATAAAAAACAAGTGGCAGGAAGAGCATGGCCCTACCCTAACAAAAACAACTGACCAGCTGGCCCTGCAACAAGAAAGTGCTGAAACACCTCTAGTGCAGAACCCACATAGAACATGGCACCATATTTCAGGCTTGAATCGATAGAAAACTCTGGGTTGATCCATTCTGTGATCTAACCTCAGTTATTAAAAAGATAATGTTACTGGTATAATTAGGCAATTTGTAGGACCTGAATAGTTGCATTGCAAGAAGAGTGGTTTTCATTTAAAAAATCTCAGATGGATAAGAAAAACACTTTTTTTTCTTATTTTATTATGAAACTCTTGTATGATCTGTTGTATCATATAAAAATTAGCCTTTAGAGATATTGATTTAATACCATGGTACCATTTACTGTGATTTTAGCTGATAGTTATCAAATGCCAAGTCTGTTATTATAATTCAAGATGATTAATATTTGCTATTGGGAAAAAAAAGCACAATTCAGTATTATATTTAACTTTTGCGGTGAAGTTGGTAAATGGTTATCAATTATGGATCCAAATATTGCCAAATATTGAATCATATTCATAATTAAGTGCTGGTAGCTCAACAATCACAATTCTATAGTTTACTTTAAATACTAATGTTTTGTGCCTAATGTTGACTAAAAATTGATTATTACTAATTTTACTTATAAAATAATAATATTAAACACTTGGCCTTGTCTTTCTTTTCTTAACTCTGTCTTTTCCTAAAACGATACGATTTAAGGAGCCACTGCTTCAACTATATCTGCTCCAGCTTTTATTTCTAAAAACAAAACGTAGCTGTTTAGCATTGTTTTATTTCTTTATGAAGCCACAAAAGGGACTACTGCTGCCATTAACCATCCGTGTGAAGCTTAAGCAAAAGTTCAGTCAAAAGATTCTTATCAGTTTCACTTGCACCACCTTTGATGTTGATTTTCTGTAAAAGAACCATATACTTCATTTATCTAAGTGTGTTCAGTTATTCATATCTTTATTCAATTCAGTATTCAATTATATACAACTGGAACACAACAGGCAAAATATAAAAAAGTACAATAAAAAAACAAAACAAAACCCTTTTCCTCAAAATGACCTACCGCACTGTATCACAAAATCTTGTTGTTCTGGAAAAACTATTATAAACTATTATGGTTAATTTTGTCACATCTTTCTCAAGAAATTAAATGCCATTTCATAAAAATCAACTTGGATAGAAAAATAGCTTACCCAAATTCCCCTGGCTCTAGAAACATGTTCTCTATTTTTGCAATGAAGTGTAAGTGTACCTTTTTACTTTGATACAATATGACTTATTTAAAGCACCACCCAAAAGGTTACAAT